ACCAAACATGAGCAGAAATAGTTTATCCTTCCATTCAATAAATTCTTTTTTGTTTGTACCTTCAGTAGTTCCCCCTTATCTGCAGTTTCACTAATGGGAAAATTCCAGAAGTCAACAATTCATAAGTTTGAAATTGCACCTTATTCTGAGTAGTGCAACAAAATCTCACGCCGGTTCTCACTCCATCCCACCCGGAATGCACATGATGCCTTTGCCTTGTGTCTCCACACTGTCTGCATCCCCTCCCCCATTCATCACTTAGGAACTATGTAGGTTATCAGACCAACTCTCATATCACGGTGCTTGTGTTCAAAGAATCCTTAATTTACTTCATTATGGCCCCAAAATGCAAGAGTAGTGATACTGGTAATTCAGATATGCCAAAGTAAAGCTGTAAAGTGCTTCCTTTAAGTGAAAAAGTAAAAGTTCTCAACTAAATAAGGAAATAAAAAAAGTCATATGGTGAAGTTGTTAAGATCTACATTAAGGACAAATTTTCTATGCCAAATCTTCTATCTGTGAAAAAAGGAGAGAAAAATTATGCTAATTTTGCTGTCCACCTCAAACTGTAAAAGTTACAGTCATAGTACATGATAATTTCTTAGTTAAACTGAAAAAGGCATTAAATTTGTAGGTGACAGACATGAACAGAAATGCATTTCAAGTGATGGCAATCAGGCTCAGAACTATCAGAGGTCTTAGGCATCCATTGTGAGTGTTGAAAGTATCCCCTGTGGATAAGGGATGGGGGACTACTATGTTCTGATTCTTCTCCTGTCAAAGATTTAAAAAACCACAAAAAAATAATGTCAGGCTACTTTTGTTTTAACCAAAGAACATTTACTCATTATCTCTTACTTTATCAGGCTAAGTAATGCTTTTTCTTCCAACTTTTGGTTCTCTAATAGGGTAATCATATTTATTTCAAACTTCTCCAGTCTTCCTAAACTTGTGTTTATAACTTGAAGATTATAATAAGAAAGAATATTCTTAGATCCACATTCAATGGCTATTTCTTTCCACATCTCTTCTGTGCCAAGTTTTGTGTTAGACCTTTTCATATTTTTTGGTTCTCTGTGAGGTATGTTTTGCAGATGAAAGAATTGACTAGGAGAATTTCAGAGAAGACAATTGACTCTCGAACAACATGGGGGCCAGGAAATTATACATACAAAAATGTATGTATAACTTTTGACTCCCCTCAAACTTAACTACTAAGAGTCTACTGTTGAACAGAAGCCTCACCAATAACATGAACAGTCCATTAACCAATATTTTGTAAGTTTTATGTATTATACTGTGTTCTTGTATTAAAGTAAGCTAGAGGCAAGAAAACATAATTAGGAAGATCATAAGAAAAAGAAAATATATCGACTATTCATTAAATGGGAGTGGATCATCATAAAGGGTTTCAACCTCATCTTCACTCTAGGTTGCTTGAGGAGGAGGAGGAGGAAAAAGAGATGTTGGATTCGCTGCCTCAGGAGTGGCAGAGGTGGGAGAAAATGTATGTGCAAGTGAACCCATGCAGTTCAAGCCCATGTTGTTCAAGGGTCAACTGCATATCCAAGTTCATGCAGATTGTAAATGGTAGAAATAAGATTCAATTAAATTCAGATTTTCTAATTCCACTTCCAGGAGTCATATGACAATTGATACTACTTAGAAACTTAAAATTACTTTCCAGCTTTTGCATATCAGACCAATAGTAGTAATTCTAACACTATTATTTGATTGTTAATAATGGTACCTCATCGGTGACTTGGCGGAGGACTAGATAATACATCTCAAAGCTTTCCTAAGGAGTGACAGTTGCACAGACACCATATTTAATGATTCCGTATCTGATACTCTCAAGGCCCTATCACTATTCACAAAATGACTTAATTACTATATCTTAATTTTTATACAAATACTATTGTGCTGATTATCTATAGTCATATAGCAAATTGTCCCAAAACTTAATTAAAACAGCAAGCATTTATTACCCCATAGTTCCTCTGGGTGCCTCTAGTTCATTGTCTCTCATGAGGTTGCAGGGCGTAGGAGACAGGCTGCAGCCTCATCTGAATGATTGATTGTGAGAGGATTTGCTTCTAGGCTCATCCATGTGGTTGTTGATAGAATTCTAGTCCTTCTGGTTTGTTTGGCTGAAAGTCTCAATTCCTCATTGGCTAGTCATCAGCTCTTTGCTACGTGAGCCTCTCCATAAGGAAGTTCCATTATGGCAGCTGGCTTCTATCATAGCAAACGAGAGAGCTAGAGCAGGCAAGCAAGACAGAAGTCACAGTCCTTTGGGAACATAATCACAGAGGCCACATCTCATCATGTTAGTGTAGTTAGTATACTCATTGGAAGACAGTCACTAGGTTCATCCTATACTCAAGGAAAGAGAATTGCTACAAGGGTATGAATATCATGAGAAAGGGATTGTTAGGTGCCAACTTAGTGATAGCTTACCACATTTATTAACCAATCTTTTTATATATTAGATATATTTTCTATATTTCTTAAATATTTAATATATCCACTTACTCAGCAACATCCATAAGAAAAATGATTCTTCTAGCATAAGGCTCGCCAAGTCATCAGGCAATTAGCTTCCCTAGTACATGCGGAAGAAATGGTGACTTGAAACTCAAGGAGATAGAGGGACGGAAGGGCAAGGGAAGTTTTCTCAGTCCTAGTGCCCTCTAAACCCAAGACTGGAAGGCAAAATAAATATTAGCCAAGAAAGAAGTTGAGGGAAGGATGTCCCAAGCAGAGGGAATAACATGAACAAAGGCCTGGAGATGAGAAAGAATGATGATATTAAACATCTATGTCCATACACTCATCTGGGTATTAACTTGTAGTTATTCTTGATAAAGTTATTTTAAACTTCTCGGAATAACTGCTAAACATTGAATTTATGATTATTTCTATTTTATCTAAGTAGATTTCTAAGTTTGGCCTGTAAGACATATTGGGCCTAAGTACTCCGAATTGTTCCTAGCTACGTACACAACTACATTGGCTTCCCTGCTAGTTTTCTTCTGCCTGAGGTGATATCCTAAGGTTGATCCTACAGATTACTAGGTGAAGAGCAGATTTAACAATTATACATTCATTTGGTTAATCTGATCAGCTTACTGTGGTAATTAAATCCAAATTGAAATATCTCCTGCTCCTAACATACAAAAATGAAATTTAAGAGGGAAAATATTATTTTCACCTTTTGACATCATTTAGGCATTAGATCTGTAGGTTAATGATTTATTTTAACATATTTCTGTGTAATTAATATGAAGTCTCCTAATAAGCAGAACAAGAAATTCTTCATAGTATTTTAGAATGATGTTTAACATATAATCTCCATCTGCATGAAATAAACTGGTATGATATTTTCCGGGAAAGATGTAACAATAAGTGACTACATACTACCTTAGAATAGGAAGCAGATGGTTAATAAGAAGTATGTGTCCATTCGATGGATTGTTTGACTCTGTTTTTTAAACTTTTTAATTGTGTAGAATTTTGAACATACATAAGAGTAAACAGAATAGAACACCATTTCATCCTGATCCAACAATCATCAAATTATGATCAATCTTGTGCCACCCATATTATTTGAAGCTTATTCCATATGATATAAATGATAATCTCCTATCATTTCATCTTCTGACATTTCAGTATATATCTCTAAAAGAGAATCAGTCATTGTTTTAAGACAAAACCACAGTACCATTTAAAAATAATTCTTAGTACTATTAAATAACTAGTCTTTTATTCTTATTTTTACTTTCTTTTTATAGTGAGATAGATGGATAGATAATTAGTAGCTCTCAATCATGGTTGATATTTTTGTTACAACTGGGGGGAGGGGGATGGAATTGGTTTCTAGTGGGTAGAAACCAGAGATGCTGCTGACGCACAGGCTAGGTCCCCAATAATGAAGAATTACCTCTTCCAAAATGCCAATAGTGCTGCTGCAGAGAAATTGAGATAGATAGGTGGATAGATAGATTGCAGTTACAAGCTTATAAAGTAATACAAAGTATCTATGCTCTAAGGTCATTTTAGCAGCCACACAAAAAACAAAAATGGATTTATAATTGAAAAAGTGATTCAGAATATGTAGTTCTTCCAATTAAAATGTCTCATAAATCAGATGGAATTTCTTTTTTTTTTCGGGAATGAAGATCAGTGGCTTAGGATCAATTAATGGAATTTTGCTCCAGGTGTGGATAAAGTAGTTCAGAAAAATACAGCATTTTTCACTTGAGCAGCAGAGTCACGGGAAGTAATGAACAAAATGTTAAGTAAATATGGGTAGAACCCGTGTTCTGCAGCAAATTAAAAAAATTTAGAAAATATCTGGAATTTGCTAAACAATAATCTGTCATAAATGGCTTTGTGTCCAATAATGCTATGAATGTTAATGTTTGTGACATATTTTTAAGAAGAAAGTTGATATTAGTTACCTTCTGCAGACAGAACCAAGCTCATTATTCTCCACCCAGAAGCCCTGGCAATAATTTACCTCACAGCACAGTAGTTCATGCAGATCAAAGCTGCATTATTTAAGTATGTCCAGGGGGCAGATCTTAGCTCTGTGCCTTACATGTTAAGGAAAAAAATATATATTCGTTTGCTTCTTGGGAGACAAAATATATTTAACAAACTAGGTGCTTCATGCAAGTCCGACAATATTTGACGAATTCCTCCTGTTATCTGGGAGGAACCCTCTTCCTGCCCTGAATACTCTAAAATCAGGCGAGGATAGAACAACTACGTATAGAATAAATGAACAGCAACGTATACTCATTTTAATGAATCCCAAATGTGAACTAGATTCAGGAAAGGACAGAGTCTGTCGTTGATACAGAATGTGCCTGTCTGCTTCGGCTCACAGGCAAGTGGTGAAGTCCAACTCTGAAATTTCAGGGAATTTGTATACTAAGCTCCTCCTTCCCTGCAGTCCTCTTTTCCATTGGTAAAATTCTTTTGTAGGGTCATGTAGGGATCCCACCCCTTCTCTGTGTTTTCACTCTGAAGCTCTACACAACTTTACACCTGAATGAACGCCAAACCTCTGTGGATATATAAAGGGAACCTTGAGCAGGAATTTCACAGTTACAGTGCAGACGCAGAGGGAGAGGAATTCACCAGCTCTCCAGCCAAGCCAGCCCTCTACTCACCATGCTCCCTCCTGCCATTCATTGCTATCTCATTCTCCTTGCATGCATCCTCATGAAAAGCTGTTTGGCTTTTAAAAATGATGCCACAGAAATCCTTTATTCACATGTGGTTAAACCTGTTCCAGCACACCCCAGCAACAACAGTACGTTGAACCAAGCCAGAAACGGAGGCAGGCATTTCAGTAACACTGGACTGGATCGGAACAGTAAGTGTGTTTTACTTGTACACATTTTTTTTTTCTTTTTTGGTAGCATTAGCTCACATTCTGTAGAACTGTTTCATTGTTAACTAACCTGAACCATATATATTTTGCTAAACAATCTGGGAGTAATCTGATGCATGTGTAGATTGGCATTCTTCCCTAGCTAGTGATTTTAAAGTTAACAGAACTAAAACAGTGATTTGATCATGCAGGCACAGACTTACGTTTTATCAAACATCCATAAAGAAAACGGTTCCAGGAATTAAACTGTCGCTTTGTTAAAATCAAGCAAAATTAGATTTTTAAAAATAATCATTCTAGATAGCTTAAGTTCAGGTTGTTTTGTGAGCTTATTTCAGGGCATGTGCAATTTTGGTAAAGTGTATAAAAGGTTGCTCACCAAAAGTACATGTAGAAAATTACAGGGGAAAAAAGAAGCTCTTAGGGGAAAAAAAATTGTTCACATGGGTTTCTAAAACATGTCTAGGGAAATAGTTGAAAGTTTTGATGATGCTCGATGCAAAAGAAGGTTAAAACTAAAAATGTTGGAGAAACATACTTTCTAAAATAATTCCTGAGGAACAAGGTCAAAATTTAGATAGTTGCATATTTCTGTGAAAGACTGAGGACATTTTTGTAATTTAAGAGATATAAAATAGCAGTATGCTAATGTGTTATACAGAGAGCAAATTTTTTTCCCTTTTCTGTTTGCTTAATTGACACACGAATTGACTACTGGTTAGGGGGATTCAGATTTCTCCTAACTTTTGTTTCGGTCCTTTTCATTAGAGAGTTCACATGCTAATAATCAGGTTTTAAGAGAGACAGCAAGAAACAGCGCACAGGAAATTTTACACAAATCTTTCTCTCCCTCCTTTCAACTACTAAAAGTAGTTTTGACCTTCGAAAAGTCAAAGCAAATATGACTGTTAATGTCTAAGAAAACGAAGGTGTTTTAACTTTCCTGAAGAAGGTTGCTTTTATGTATATAAAAAAATATCTGGTTGTTATTCGATTATTGAGCTCTGTGGTGGGTATTCACTGGCAATGCACTGTCACTGCAAAAACGCCGAATCTCCGTATACACAGGAATGCAAAGCTAGACGAGTCACAGTCATCTCTGGCTGCTTCCAGGTGCCTTCCTAAGGCAGCTGTAGGAAGGTGAACTGGAATCAGAATCACGCAAGCTGAGCACACCGTCCAGACAAATAGTCTACCCTTCAGATTTCATCTCTCATCTCTAGATCTGTATGCGTGTATGTGTATGTACATAAATCTTTTCTCAACTATCACATTCCCCTTCGGCTATATCTCAGATCTCAGAAGTGCTGGGATACACAGTTGAAGTCAGAGTCCTAATGTACCTTCTACGTTAGCTTAGCTTTCAGCATTCTATATAGAACCACTTCAATGTCCCTTATAATTTTTATTTTTAAAATTTCAGCGGTCTATACTTTTAAAGTTTCTTCCCCCACCCCGCCCCCCACTGGTTAGCAAGGCTTGATTACTTTTCAAGCTTGTTATAGGCAATTCTCCTCAAGTTCAGATAACAAAGCAATGATAAGGAAAACTTCCAACTGTTTCAAGATTAATTTTTGCTTTAATTGCATAAGACATGTAACAAGAAACAGCCAATTAGAGAACATACCTATCAAATCGATATAACTAAAACAAAAAGTTTGCCGTGACCAGTATTCAGGAAATGAACACCGAGGTTCCTTTTGCAGTTATAAATCAGACATGTTAGGCATTTTTCTGCCATAAAATTCATGGACATGTAGCCAAGTTGTTATGGCAACCATACGTTCCTGATTTAGGGTCTTTTATATGCTTTGAATTTTGAGTTGTAGTGGCATTTTGCATTTCAATCATTTTACTATTTATATTTTTAAAAGATAGTTTGGGAATTTACATTTAAAATGTAGTTATTAAGTCTGATATGCAAAATGTCAGATGTTATACACATATGTATATATGATTCTCTGCAGCTGAGTTTTATCATTGAAATAAAGTATTACAGACTGCGTATTCATTGTACACAATATTTACTTTCCACATTTTCTCAACAGATTTTTTTTAAAAAAACCTAATTAAAAGCACCTGCAGACATTATCCAGTATGACCCTTGAGAAAGAGTACGTTAAAGTGTACTCTTTTAACACATTGAAGAATGAATATTTACACATACATGTAAGAGCTGCTAAACCCTTATTGAGAAGTGAGACTAAGAAAATTGGATTTCCAAATACTCTAATTAGCAATAGGCTACTGTGATACATAAAAAAAAAAAAAATCAACCCTAGATCCTTCCCCCCCCCCCCCCAAAGTTATAGCCATGTAGACGGATAATTTTCGTGAAAACGTCTCTACCACTATCCAGGCAGATTTTTGCCTTCTGAAAACAAAATAGGTGTTCCCTTGCTATCATTGGGATATTATTTTGTCATTGTAGATTGCTGTTTGCATCTTCGTTTGCTTTTTGTCTCTGATGCCCGTTCTTTGCCGTTTCTTGCAGCTCGGGTTCAAGTGGGATGCAGGGAGCTACGTTCCACCAAATACATCTCTGACGGCCAGTGCACCAGCATCAGCCCCCTGAAGGAGCTGGTGTGCGCCGGCGAGTGTTTGCCCCTGCCGCTGCTCCCTAACTGGATCGGAGGAGGCTATGGAACCAAGTACTGGAGCAGGAGGAGCCCCCAGGAGTGGAGGTGTGTCAATGACAAAACGCGCACCCAGAGAATCCAGCTGCAGTGCCAAGATGGCAGCACGCGCACCTACAAGATCACAGTGGTCACCGCCTGCAAGTGCAAGAGGTACACCCGGCAGCACAACGAGTCCAGTCACAACTTCGAGAGCCTGTCGCCTGCCAAGCCAGCCCAGCATCACAGAGAGCGGAAAAGAGCCAGCAAATCCAGCAAGCACAGCATGAGTTAGAACTCAGACTCCCATAACTGGACTGACTAGTAACCATCTGCTTTACAGATTTGATTGCTTGGAAGACTCAAGCCTGCCATTGCTATTTTCTCACTTGAAAGTATATGCTTTCCGCTTTGATTAAACCCAACAAGCTGTCCTAAGTATCAGGACCTTCTTTGGGAATCGCTTTTTTTTTTTCCTTTTCAAGTTTTTCAAGATGTATGTATATCCATGAATGCGATTTGCATTTAAATTTCAAGCATCCTGTAGTTTTAATTCCCTGTCGTTCTTAAAAGATTGTTGATACTATATACATCACTGAGTCATTACATTTTAAAACAGAAAAGGGTCTCTCGGTTACCCCCCATCCCCCAGCCTATCCCCGCCCCCAAACAAAAACCCCTTCAAACAAAAGTTAAAAAAAAAAAAAATGTTGCCATGAATCTTCACAGTAACATTTCGGAAAGGTGCTTTTTTGGTCATCTTCATGGGAGCGGTTCAGCAGCCATGAGTGATCTTCTTTTAAAAGACTCTGTGACATTTCACATCAAAAATAAGCCCTGTAGCTTTTTACAGTCGCCTAGTATGAAATTATACCCTGCATGCTGACCCTTGCTTGGAATGGAATGTCAGAAATGCATGGCAAGCTAATAAGTAAAGCTGATTAACTATTTATTTGTCAATGTTATTATTTAATGAGCTTCCACATGTGATTTTTTTTCAAAATGTTAATTTTGTATGTTTTGAAGCTTTTTCATGTACCTAAATATTTTCAGACATGATTTGTGGTTGATCTAGAAATATGAAAATACATGTAGATATGTAAAATAAATAATTTAGTCTCCTTATTGCATATATGTTTCATCATGAACTTTATCAGTAGTATGGATCTTTTAAAATCAGTAAGATGCTTAGTAAAGCCAAAGTATGTAATACTTTCTTGTTTAATCTGTGCAATCAGAAGGGGTCTTGACCTTCAATTCCATTGGTTTCTTTTAACAAAAATAAACACTGCTAAAAGTTTTTGTGTTTGCCTCTAACATGTATTAAAAAGGTACATGTTTACAAAAGTTGTAGAATAAATGTATGAGTAATAACTTTTTTTTTGCTAATTCAAGCTTTGACAGAAATACCTATAGTAAGAGAAGAGAGAGAGAGACAGAGAGAGCATCTCTTCAGGAAGCGGGATGGTTAAAAAGGTTGGATGGCAATCCACAAGTGAATCATGAGAATATCAGATTTATATAAACCAGTGGATGCCAAGTCTGCTGTACATTATCAACTAGGGGAGACATTATAAGACTTAATGCCCAGGCTCTTGTCCAAACTATATCAGAATTTCTTGGGGGTGGAACTCAGATATTGGCTGTTTTCAGTTTTTCAGGTGATCTCAATGTGCAGCTAAGTTTAAGAAAGGAAAGAATTATGATAAATCAATGTCTTGTGCTGGGGAATTTTGAATACTATTGTGTGGCCCCCAAACTTAAAAATAAAAACAACAAAGCAAAAACTCACTTTTCAGTGTTTTCAATTTTAGCATGTTGTTACATTAAGCAACATAATTACAATCTTGAACCAGAATATACAGTTAAATGACTGACGTGATGATTCAATCAAATGATCGATTTCATCACTGCAAATACCAGAGGCTCAGATGTGTATTGATAAGAGTATGTGGGTTTTCCTTCTTGAGATGCTGAGTTTAGAGGTCTCCATAGCACTTTTTGTAGCAAGTTCTTTTTTTTTGTAATTACATGTCTAACAGTCACGTGTATATTCCATATAGCACACTAAACTAAACAAGAACATTGATATTGTCTCTTCTATGAGAGAGGTAGGAGAGTCTCAACATACATAAAGATAAGAGAATATCTCTAGATTTTATAATCACACTATTATAAATAAGTCATAATCTGTCATTGATCTCTCTTTCAGTCTTAATAAATAAGATGTTAACTTATTTCTTAGAATATCACCATATTAATGCATGGGAAATTCATAACAATTATATCCTAGGTTGAATATACCAAAAATGTATTATTTTGTACATCTATTTTACTTGTTTATCCTCAATACGGGATATTTAAGATTGCATATAAAATTTAAGACAGCTTAGCCTTTTCTTTCTTCTCCATAAGATAGCATCTTCATAGAAGGCCTTAGAGATCATCTCAAAAACTAGCATGTCCTAAGATCTGAGGCATAAAAAGGACTTGATATGACAATGGGTTTTCACAATCAAGAAAACTATGTTGTTGCCTTTTACAATAAAACATTGAAAAAAGATCTTGGTAATAATAAAATGCTAAAATCTTCACTGATTTGATTACTAATAGTGTATTAGTAAATGCTCATAGATACACTAAAAAATAAAAAGGAAGTTAAAGAAGTGTATAAATAAAACGTGTAGTCTGCAAATTAAAGGACTGGATCAATTTTTCATGATCACATTCAATTTACTGATCCATTCTAGGCCATGTTACATTAAAGATGTATTCATTGCATTGAATTTAACATCAAACAACAGGAAAAGGTCAGCAATCAATAAGACCTAGAGTAAAATTAGTCTCTCAGTGAAATAAAAACTAAAAGTCAACAGAAAGAATAGCTTCTTAGTTATTATTTTTAAATACAAAAAGGCACTTGTGGGCCAGATGCGGTGGTTCAACCTGTAATCCCAGCACTTTGGGAGGCCGAGGCGAGAGGATTGCCTGAGTCCAGGGATTCGAGACCAGTCTGGGCAACTTGATGAGACCTCATCTCTACAATAAATCAAAAAGTTAGCCAGACGTGGTGGCACACACCTGTGGTTCCAACTACGTGGAAGACTGAGGTAGAAGGACCACCTGAACCCAGTAGCTCAAGGCTGCGGTGGCTGTGAGCATGTTACTGCACTCCAGCCTGGGTGACAGAGTAAGACTCCAACTCAGAAAAGTAAAATACAATACAATAAAATAAAATGCACCTGTGTTTGAGTTGCTAATTGTATTTTGTGGGGTTTTTTTTCCAGGTATTTCACATGTTCCAATCTGATAAGCTGTCCATAACTTTATTATCACCTTAGTAACTATCATTCAAAATGGTGGATTAATTATGAAAATTTTAGCAAGATCTTAAGCCAAATTTATATTCATAATGTCTATGAAAAGATTTGCTTATCAAACTTATTGGGCTACCATAGATAAAGGACTTTTTCAAGTGGTTTGGTAGAAACACAGATGATAAATAGACATATGAATGGATATAGATATGTTGATATTTACAGATATATTAGATATGTAGATATATAAATAACAAGAATGAAAGCAAAATTAATAGCACATACACCAATGAATAATATATGTAGTATGCTAGACCTAAGTCAAACATGGACATAAAACCTTTAAAAAAATCTATTTGTAAATAAGTTCATATTTTAATTACAGATCACTCATGTGTATTCATGAATGCTAGCTACAAACATCCACTGTTAGCCATGTTTATTTGACTGTTATTTTGAAAAACAATCAAAACTAGAATGCATGTGCTAAATAAAAAGACTGAGTCTTAATTCATTCCTGCCCTTTATCAAATGAGCAAAGGTGTATCAGGAGACCTTGCGGTGTTATGCACCTTATAAATCATTACTGAACGCATACTAGACTACTAAAACTTTGTTTTTCATTAGGTAACATGATCTGCCTATTAAGCCCAATGTTTTTAATAGATACTCAGTGGAATAATTATACTTAGAAGATGTGGGTGGAGAGAATACTATTTAGCAGCAGCAAAATCAGAAAACTTCCAAATTGCTGAATAAAATTAAAGCATTTGAAAGCTGAAATTTAGTATATTGTAATTTCTTGTTTTTGCCATCACTAAAAATTTTTAGATATCAAAAAATAATTAATCATATTTGGAATTAAAGCACGATTTAGATTAGATTTAACTCTTGAAAATACTTTTTAACCCTAAAATGGCAATTCACTCCATACCCTAAATTCAGTGTTTATATGTCTCCTATAGTCACATGGTCATAATAAAAAAAATGAAATGCATGCCAAATTTTCGATGGAATCCTTGTAGAAACCCAGAAGGAGTTCAGTGGAGAAATGACTTAGGATTCTCAGGGATAGAAATTAGCACTCTTTTGTTAGAATATGTTTCTTTCCCTCAGAGGCAGATAGAACTAACTTTCATCTTGGTTTCACTGAAACCTATTACAATATAGCTCTATGCTGAATTTAAATGAGTCTAGGTTTGTGAACTAAGTAGACATTTGGCCACTAGAAATGTTTGTTGCATCAAATGTTTGTTGCATCTGCAAAGAGACCTGCTGAAATGGATATCCCAAAAGACATTCTACTTGTCAGTGTCATTTTCAATTCCACTGTTGCATGCATCATTCTTGACTCCATAGCTAATTTCACACTTGATGCATTTCACATTTGATGCATAGCTAATTTCACATTTGATGGCATTTGCCTGCATATGTTGCAAAGTGCTCTAGGATAGTAACTACTGCAGGAATCCTCAATGTTAAGACAGTTCAATTTCCAGGTTCAAGCACTGATTTAAATGAATTAATACCAAAATGAATGCATCATTATTTCTAGAGCAAATGACTGGATTTATCATCCACAGTAGCTGGTTTGCTGAAGGATTTATTTAGGATTAACAAGTGAAGAGCAAAACTGTTTAGGGGATTCCTTATGAAAAAATTAAAATATTTTCTTCTAATTTTAGTAACCATAAATCAAGGGTTACCTTGTATTATTGATTTCATTTTTAGCAGAGGGATTAGTTGTTTGAATCTGAGGCAGAATGTCTAAACTGGATGACAATATCAGTGGCACAAATACATTAAACTAAAATTTATTGTTATAAAAACTGATCCAGAGTTGGACACAGCTTAAAAATAAGTTACTATTAAGATATAGGTGCCATTTTTTTCAGTAGAAATAAATTCTTTTTTGGAAACTTATTGTCATTAGGTTCACACAAATTTTAAAAAATTTTACCTTACAATATCAACAAATTTGTCACAAAATGGTCATTTGAACCCTTTTATTTATTGAGATGTTCCCCTAAATTTGGGAAAGACAGCCTGAAACACTGAAGCCAGCCGTCCAGAAAGCAAGACTTTATTATGATCCTTTACAATCTTTAATCAGTGCTATATTTGTGCTAAATAGTTAACCATTTTTACTGACCTGCGTTTTCTGCTGTTTTTAGCCTAGTTTCCTGTCTTACTTTTCATAAATGGTTTATAAATTATAACTTTTTGGCTAATTTGTTTACTTCCTCGAGCTCAAAGCATTTTAAAAAACTTTCTTGCTGCAAATTTCTTTATTGTAAATCCAAGACGAAGAACTGCCAAATGTGTTTAACAATCTAATGAAGCATTGCCATTTTGCCTGTTCATTCATGCTCTTTCCTAAGGTTGATTAATTTTGCCTATTTTTATTCTAATAAAGAAATATTTTACATGTACTTTGTGACTTAGTGTGACATCTTTAAAAATAGAGTTTTCAATGTGACTCATCTGCACTTTTTTTTAGTTTAGCCATTTTGCACAAGTGGCTTTCGATATAAACTTGGAAACCAAAGTTTAGACTGTGCTGCTACTAATTTGCGGGGTGAATTCACACTCGTTTCTTCAGTTTCCCAAGGCTCAGTTACTTCATCTGTAAAATAAAAGAGTTGAACTAGATCATGTCTAAAGTGTCTTCAAGCTCTAAAATAGTCACATTCTGTTACCTCAGACAACATGGACATATTTACAGTCCCAACGACATTCACAAAAGCAGATTTGACTTATGCTACTCTCTAGTTCTGATTCTGTCTTCAGTTCATTCAACTGTGAACTTTTGGAGTAAGATTTTAGTCAGACTTGTTATGGAAGTTGAACTATTCCATCATAGCCAATACCTCTGTCAGGCAAGCAACATAAGAGGCCAGGGGAGAGACCCAGCTCCAGGGGTTGACGGCAACTTGTCACCAGGCATTTCTTGCTCTTTGTCCAAACTTGAGCAAACACCGGAAAAATGTTAAGGATCTGGGAAAAGATGAAACTTGGCACAAAACAGATTCGAATTTTTCTTTGTTAAAA